TGACAAGTTGGGCATGATTGATATCTATGCTCCGACTTGAGGGGGAGTGTTGTCAGTTGTTTATGTATTCAGGTTTAGTACCATAAGGGTACTGTTGTAATTTCTCTTCTGTTTATATTGTTCGACTGTACTAGTATAAATAATAAAATCATTCTTTCGCCCCCGAAGGGCTTTCAGTCACTCAACTCACCTCTCTTCTCTCTTCTCCTCTCCTCTCTTCACTTGCCCTTGCTCAACAGCTCTGATACCATGATAAAATTCAGATATAGTGTCCATATGATTTCAGATAAGAAGGAGAAGAAGAACAGTTTCTTTGAAACTAGAGAGAAAAAAACATCTTCTCTAGTCGGCCAGCCTTTATTTATACTTTTCTATATAAACAAGAATTACTCTTTTGCCCTCACTTAAGTGAGAGCAACATCAGCTAAATAATTAACATATAACTTAATATAAAAGGTCTATACTACCCTTCTACAATCGACTCTAACAGTGGGTCACCTTGCCTTATTCCTCTCAAAGTGGGTCACCTTGCCCTATTTTTAGTAGAATGAATACCTGAATGGGCATATGTGGATGAAGAGGGAACTATCTCTGATGAAGTAGGTGCAATAGTAGTAGACTCCAGGTGAGTAATTATTCAGCCATACTTCTCATACTCATCCCTAGCAATTGCTAGTTGCTCTCCCACCGACTTCTCCCCACTATGCCCCTATTCACTCTGTGAGGAGGTAGCTACATTTGCATTTCCACCTTTCCCATTCTCATTCCTTTTTCCACTGTTTGCATTCTTGTGTTTGGCAGGTATAAGCTTTGGATGCAAGCTTCCAACAGGTATCTTTAGTATGTTAAGGCTTCTTGCAGTATTCACAAACAACATCTTTCTTTCATCCTGGCATTAGCTTAGTGATTCATCTATAGTTCTATAGACTGAACTTGTCTCTTGCTCTCCTCACTACTCACCATAGCATAAGCGTGAGATAAAGTCACCTCATCCTTTGCCAACAAATTTTCTCACTATATTCCGGGTACGGAACTCAAAAACTCGATTTCTTTCCACCAACTTCCTACGTGTTTTAGCATCCTTTGTACACCCCCAAACCATAGTCTCCATCAAATCAGTCTCCTGCCAAAGAGATTTTAGCATGGCGAAGTAAATGGCTAAGGGCTTCTCCCCTTGTCTTAGATTATTCACATCATTCTTCAATTTGTACGCCCGAGCAACATTTGATTTATGGGAATAGGTCTTCATGACACTTTCCCACCCCTCCTTTGCAGTTCCCATCCACAAGTAGTGCTGCCTAATATGTGGTTGCATAGAATTCATTAACCAACCCACTATTGTGTAATTCTCCTGCATCCACCTCTCATAGGTAGGGTCATCCTCCCCCGGTTTCCTATTTCTCCCGGTGATGTAACTGCATTTCCCTCTACTACATATCTTAATTGACTGAGACTAGGCTAAATAATTGGTCCCATCCAGGTTCACAATGGTCACTACCCCAAAAAGATTCTCCATTGATCCCCCATGTCCAAACCCAAAATCTGTTGGATATTTGGTTTCTCCTTCAGTTTGCTCCACTGAGTGAAACGGATATCACAATAAGTCTCAACTAAGCTATAATTTCTATTCCAAGCAAAAAACTTCTCTTCAAACAACCAAATCTATAGTTTTAGAAGACCCGTCCGAATAGAAGAAGAGGAGAAAGTTCAACCACTCCTACCAGAGGTTCCAGAATCCTGTCCAACTCAAATTGCCCTTAATGAAAATCAAAAGGCTACCCTTTGTTCTCCAAGTGCCAGTTTCAAAGTGTCTCTAGGACTTGTAATTAGTTTTCTTCAGTTGTCTAGGGTTTTCGGGAAAAAACTCCAAGAACTTGCCCTGGGCTTCAATTGGGGATGAAAAACTTCACAAAACCTCTCTGAAAGCCCTCCCAACTAGGCTACATAAGCTGCTCCCTAATCAGCCAATCAATTCTCCATACACACTGTGTATGGGCAAAGAGAGAAGAAAGAAAAGAAGGTGAGAACCTTCTCTGATACCAAGCTGTAAATCACACCTGCAATAATCTGAATTAAAAGAAAAAGAAACAGGAGAAAAGGAGATTGAAGAGAGAGAAGTGATGGAAGAAAAGGAAGAAGAAGAGAGAGTAGTTCAAAACCTCTCTTCAGCCCCCAATGATCTCTTTTATTCTTTTGTTATGAAAAATAAGGACAATTACATGAGTGCCCTTAGTAGGGCATCCATCACTAAAGACAACAATAAAAAAGAGAAAACAGGTCCACTATCTACTAGCAAAAGTCATAACCATAACTTAAAAGAAAAACAAAGAAACTAAGGCCCATTCCGCCCATTATCTCTACAAAGTTGTTAGCAATAACACCCTTTACAACATAGAATCCCACCACCCTATTAACATTGAGCCCAAAATAAATGATGTCTATTTACTCCTTGAAAGATTCTCTATCAACATTTCCTTAAGTAGCATCCTCTATTTAAAGATCCTGGCATTTCTTTCTTCCCAGAAGTACAATAGATGATAAAGGGTTGCTGAATATTGAGAATGTCATGAAGGACTTCTGTGCGGAGAATTGGACAATAGATGATAAAGGGTACTGTGAATTAACCCAGGAGTACAATATGTTCTCGGGGGGG